CAAAATACCGGGACTGCGCCAGTGGTGGCGAGCTCCTCGGGTTGGCATGTTTTTCTTCACCAAAATTCATATTATTTCATCCCAAATACTTATCATAAACTCTCTAACAATTATTAGGAACATCCGGAAGGTATTGCAAAGAAAGTTCGGCGTTGGAATGTTGAAGTTAGTGAGTTAATCGTCGGAATCATGTTCATCGACATACCCGAAATTCTGGACAGCAACTTTCTAGTGACTTCAGGTTCGATTTACGCTATCTTACATATGTTAAAACGAAATACTTTCTATACAAAAGTTGTAGCCTTACATCTTAGGAATCCACAGAATCAAACGGTTTGCAATTCCGTGAAGAAACGATGGAGATATGCCCAAATTACCGCAGGCTGTCCAGTTGTGACGGAAATGACAAAGTTGGCAAATTTCGATGTTGCTATATACCCTGGTATGAAACCTCTGACTCTACCACAATTATTATAGACTGTTGAAGCTACAGCTCCTTGAAGGCCAATGTTGCCTCCTCCGTAGGTAAGCCTGATTTTTCGCCTTACCAATTCACGTCCTAGATCAACCGCTGTAGCCATAAACCTTGGATTGCTACCAAGAGCATGACTACCAAGTAGACCAACGAATTTTATGGTATTAGAAAGAGCTCGAGAAGTTCCTTCCATTATGTGAGAATGTGAGACGCTCTTGCCACAATTTGATATATATAGACTCTGAAACTGGACCATTGATGGAAAAGTAATTATCACCAGCCTAAAAACGTACAGGAAAGTGGATTCGCCCCAGACAAGAACGTATTCGCCAATACTGCAATCTACTGACGACATGACATATTGAGACTCAGGAATAGTTAGGCTCATTGCCCTGAAATACATTCAAATCCGAGATGAAAAGTCAAAATGACTATTTACCTAAGACAATGACCCCTTGAGTAACTTCGAAAGAGTGAAACACTAAAAGATGAAAACCTACTATTTGCCACAATAATTCGCAAACGCTATATTCGTATCATGTGACCTATATCCTTAAAATACTAAAACTTGCTGTGTTAATTATACACTTAAAACATCTCACTTGATCAAACTTAAAAAAAAAATTGAATTCCATAATTTTTTTAAAACAATCATTGAGAACTTGTTGTAACTCATGACTCTCCCTCAAACCCAAAAAAAATGTTTTATGATACCGATCTTCAAAAACCATACTCTGTAACGATTGATGTGACTACGTGATCTATGAAAATTATTATCAATGATGACCAAGCAACTTTGCTTTAACCCTAACAAAGGAACATATGTGCAACAACTAGAAAGGAAAAGTTGTCATTTGTGTGGTGAATATCACCACACTGAAGGTAAATGTGATCTCCACTTAAGTCAATTGGGCGGACCACCAAGAGAAACCACGCATGTGTCTATAGAATCCCAAACATATTAGAATATGACTGTGTATAATTTGTCATGTTTTTAGTAATAAGTAATTTAACTATTGTGTGATGAATATTAGTGATATGACGAATACACTAATATTATAATTTTCGAGCACGAAACTCTATCATAATTATTGAGAAAGTTGGAAATTCCAAGGCAATTCTGGAATTATCAATAAGAAAATCAGTATTCAAGAATGACTACATATCATATTGATAACACAAACGGTGACAAAATAACAAGTGTTATCCAATACGTTCATCCAATCATTACAATGTGATAAAAACATATATTGCTGTTGTGCATAAGTGTGATATGCATGTTTACGGTTATAGGCATCCATAAGCCATGTGAAATCAGATTGTTGACATTACGTTAGTCAGAATAACTCCATTAAGGATCGCTAATGAAAGTTCAAGTTTTGAAACTATAATTACATATTCATCTAAGAAACCTAGAATGATGACTATGGTAATAGTCATTTTCCAAAATACCCTTATGTAACAACATCAAACCTAGAAACAATTCATTCCAGATTGTACACAATGAAGCGTAATTTGTGAAACCAACATTCCAGACAAACTC